CATCCTCTCCCCTCCCCATCACAACCCTTACCGAGCTGCTGTGGGCGCTGTCATGGCGGTGGGAGCAGGGCTGGAGCCCTGCAGGGGGGTTTCCTGGAGCTTCGGGGGCTCATGCTTTGGCGGGGGAGGTGCTGCTGGTGCCCCAGGCTTAGGGGGGAGCAGGGACGTACCCCATGTCCCAGCGGGTGAGGGGCTCAGGCCCACTCTGGGCTCAGATCTGCATCGGGGCCCTGTGCTGGAGCTGGGAGGGGTAATGGGGGGCTGGGAGGAAGCACAGCCTGCTGGAGTCACCCCAAAACCAGGGGCAGAGGCTGTTTGGGGAGCCCTACTCCCCCTGGGCAGGGATGGATGTGGAGTCGGGTGCGGAAGGGATGCCTGGGGAGGGACCTGGGGAGCCCCTGCCCCCAGAAGGCTCCTGCAGCCCCGCACCCACAATTTATTGTCAGGAACAGGCATCTCTGCCTCTCCCCGCCCACCCCCCTGTTGTGGGGCTGGGGCTGGTTGGCAGGAAAAGCTTGTCCTGCCTGTGCCACGTCTGCGTGGAGCTGCATGCGGGGCCGTGTGCGGTGTGGGCTGGCCGGGAGCGGAGTCCCTGCGTGCTCCCCTCTGCACCCCCTGCTTACCGGCCCCGGTGCTCGCACGTAACCGGCCCGGGACGCTGGAAAAGCACAGCCCCAGGCTGGGGGGTGCCCTGCTGTGCCAGGGCTCAGCTCAGCGCTGGCCCTGCTCCCCTGCTGCCCGCGGGGGGGGCAGCACGTTCCCCTGCCTGCTGGGGTCCTGCCAGGCCACCTCATTGTTCCTGCTGTTATTTTTATCTGATTTGATGGATTCTAATGCCTGGCACCTGCTGGGCTGTGCATCCACCCCTCGGTTCCTGGAGGGAGGCCAAGGTGGAGCCGGGAGGGGTGCCCAGGACCGGCTCTTGCCCGCTGCCGGAGCAGCTTTGGTGCAGCCCGTGGCTCTGGGCTCCAGCTCCGCCTGTTGCTGCTTCCCCTGGAGCTGGCCCTGCCCTGCTGAGGCGCAGCCCCCCAGTTTCTCGGGGGCACCCCCTGGGAGCGGGGCCGTGCCCCTGGCGTGTGTGCCCGCTCTGTGTGGGTGATGGCCCAGCGCTGGATGTGGTTCCTGCAGCCGAGACGAGGCTCTGCCGTCGTGTCTGGATGTCCCCCTGCCCGCAGCAGGTACCCCTGCCCAGCCGTGCTGCGAGGCGGTGACGGTGGCAGCATGGCTGTTCCTCCAGGGCGGGGGCAGCCCTGCTGGAGGCTGAGCCTCCCTGCTCCCCTTCCAGCTCCAGCGGGTAGTTACCCTGTCCGAGGCTGGGTCCGTGCGGAGGGGGAAGGCTACCTGTGCCCTGTGCAGACCCCGGCCTCCAGCCCTGCTCTGGGAGCCGCCGGCTGTGGCCAGGCCAGGGAGCTTTGCTGGCCACTGGCCGTGCCCAGTGAATGGCCATCCTGCCCGGCAGCGAGAGCCGGGGCGGGGAGAGGGCTCTGCCTCCTGCATCCCGGGCGCCGGGCCAGGATGCCAGCAGGGCCGGGGCACAGCGGGCAGCAGCACGTGCCCGTGGCGGTGACCTGGCCGTCCCCGCCTGCCGAGAGCAGCCCCGTGGTGGCGGTGGGAGGCCTGCGGGGGATGTGGCAGACGGTGTGGCCTAATTAGGCTTGGGCCCGTTTCAAAGTCCTCTGGCCCCGGGAGCAGCAGCCCGCAGGGTCGGCCATGTCCCCCTGGCCCCTGGGGGCTGCCCGTGGCCCTGCTCAGCACCGGCCTTCCCACGGCTCAAGCGGCCACGAGCACTTGCCCTTCTCTCCAGCTGCTCCAACGCTCCCCTGGCCGCTTCCCAGCCCGGGGCAGGACACGGTAGTGGCCACGGGGCCCGGCAGAGCTGGGAGCTGGTCCCTGTGTTCATGGCTCCAGCCCTGTGCCGGAGCTGCCGCAGCGCCATGCCAGTGCCAGCCTGGGCGAGTGAAGTCTGCGAGGGGCTTGGTCCGTCTGCTCTCCCCAGCCCAGGAAAGGGTGCACGGACAGACCTGTTCCCCCCTCCGGCAGCCCCAGTGATGCTTGGTCACCAGCGGGCACCGTGCCCGGAGCCTTGGGCATGGAGTGAGTAACGCCGGCACCTTCTCAATGAGTGCGGCGCAGGGCGAGCCTGCCTGTGCCCGGTGGGAAGGTGGCCAGCAGGCAACCAGCCCTTCCGCTGTGCTGGCCCGGGGTCCCTCCTGCCAGCACCTCCTGCCCCTGTGTGGCCACGGCCGTGGGCTGGCAGTGGTCACTCTGCCGCTGCAGAGGGGAGCGGTGGCTCTCGGGGCCCAGGGCAGAGCCTCAGCCCCTGGAGGGGGGGGGCTGCAGGTTGGAGGGGGCTGTGGGCACTGGGGGGGTCTGCAGGTTGGAGGGGGCTGTGGGCACTGGGGAGGTGACAGGAGCTTCTCCTGAGCCAGCCCGGGGTCAGTAGCCCTTTGGCTGGGACCTGCTCCCTGCGGAGCTGCTGGGGCTGTCGCAGAGGGACCAGTGGTCCCCAGTGACAGGGGCAGGAGCTGCTGGGGAGGCAGCTGGGGCTCTGCCAGCCCAGGCACCATCAGCACGCCACGGAGAGGAGCCACTCCTGGGGACGGTCCGGGCAGGGCTGGTGGGAGGAGGGGGGACATTGGGGCTGCCGCTGCTCGGGATGGGGTCTGGCTGGGTTCAGGGTTTCCAAGAACAGAGCAGAGTCTGGAGACCTGCCTGGGACCCCTCCCGGGGGGGACGAGCAGGGAGCCGGGGGATGGAGCGCTGGGCCAGCTGAGTTGCGTCGAAGGGGTCAGGGGTGTCGGGTGGAGCGGGAGCTGCCAAAGGCCCAGCTGAGCAGCCCCCGGCGGGGGACGCGGGCAGCAGACGGCCCCTCACACTGATATGGCAACACGGCCAGGAGCCGTGCCAGCCGCCGGCCCGCGGCGAGGGGCTGGGGCTGGCCCAGTGACCCTCACCCTGCCCTCCTGGCTGCCTGGCACGGCTTGACGAGGAAGGGGATGGTGGTGGCAGGGTTTGCACGGTGCTTGGGGAGGGATTTCGGGAAGCACGAGGCTCAGGAAGGGCTGTGATAGGGAGCAGCCGGGTGGGCTCTGCCTCAACAGCCCCGGGCACCCTGGGCGAGGGATTGGCCCCATCTTGGGGACCTGGAGAGAGGGCACAGCCGAGCCCCGCTTTGGGAAGAGGTGCTGTGTTGTCCCAGCAGTGTCCCGAGGTGCTCGGCTGCTGCGGGAGGGTGTGGGCAGGTTTGGCATAGGGTGAGCTCTGTGCTGGGACAGGCACAGCGGGGCCAGCGCCAGCTCAGCGGGATGTGTGGGGCAGATGCTGTGCTCGGGCAGGAGGACTCAGGGGTTGGCAGGGGGCTGCGGGGGCTGCCCTGCCACCACGGCCACCTGAGCAGGCTGTGCTGGCCACAGGGACCCTCATGGGAGCTGGTGATGTGATTGCCCAGCAGCTGGTGGAGCAGCGGGGACTGCAGGGGCACCAGGGCGCCCGCACCATGAAGATGATGGCCATTGGCTTCTGCTTTGTGGTGAGTGCCACCGTGCCACGGGCACTCGCCCTGTCCTGTCCCTACAGGATGGATTTGGTGGGATGGAGATGGGGATGGGGGTGGGATGGGGATGGGGTGGGTGGCTGTTTCAGCAGGGCAAAGCCGTGGTGCCTGGGTATGGGCTGAGCCGTCCCAGTGCCACCTCCAGCAGCCACGGGCAGCGCTGAGGAGGAGCACCCTGTGCCCTGTGCCCACTCAGGGTGGGACAGGCTGGCAGCCCCTGCAGTCTGGTCACCCGTGGCCATGCCTGCTGCTGGCACCAGCCCCCAGGGAGGTGTCCCTTGGTAGAGGGTGGGTGACTGCACCCAAGGGTGCTGCTTGGCTCCGTGTGCGCAGCGGGGCTGGGTCAGAGGGTGACTGCACCCAAGGGTGCTGCTTGGCTCCGTGTGCGCAGCGGGGCTGGGTCCCGACCCATCAGCTCCTGGGGGGCACTGGGTGGGGAGGGCTTGGGTGGCTCTGGCAGAGGTGGGGTCCCCCCCCCCAGACGCTGCCCCTCACCACCCGGCTCCGCAGGGCCCCGTCGTGGGCGGCTGGTACAGGATCCTGGATCGGCTCGTCCCGGGGGCCACCAAAGTGGTGGCCGCGAAGAAGATGGTCCTGGACCAGGTGGGTGCCACGTGGGTGAGGGGGCTCATGCCGCAGGACAGGGCAGTGGCACGGCCACGTGTGGGAGTTTCCATCCCACTCTGAGAGCCCGGGCTTGGCACAGTGTGCTGGCCCTGCCGGCCGTGCTGTGGAAGCTGTGGGGACCCACGTTTTACCCTTGTTGCAGCTCTCCCCAGGCTGTTGAGAGCTGCCATTGCCCTGCAGTGCCATCCCTGGTGTCCCCGCTGCGGTGGGGGGTCCTGGGGATGGGGACCCCGGTGCTGCCCTGGCTCCTACCCTTGTCCTGTGCCAATGGACACAGCCAACGGCTGGGGCAGATGGGGCTGCAGAGGTGCCCACCCTTGGTCTGGCCCTTCCAGAGGCCCCACGGTGGTCCCTGTCCCTCTGTATGGCTCTGCTGGGGAGCAGCGTGCCGAGTAGCCACAGGGCATCGGGCAAGCTGGGCTGGCAGCCCCCTCGCCCTGTGCTGAGTGCCACAGGCTGCCCAGCCTCAGCCCCGACTCCTCTCCCACAGGGGGGCTTCGCGCCGTGCTTCCTCGGCTGCTTCCTTGCCATCACGGGGGCCATGAACGGTCTGTCGGTGGAGGAGAACTGGTCCAAGATCCAGCAGGTACGTGCTGCTTCCCGGGGATGGCGTGGGGCTGGCGGCAGCCAGGACGCCCCGGCATCTCCTCCCGGTGCACCGGTCCCACCGGCTGCTGCCGTCTGTGGTTGTGCTCGTTCCCGTGCCCTGGCACAGCACCGGCTGCGTGCCCCCAGCCCTGCCATTACGCTCCCGTCCTCACCCTGGTCTGCAGCTCCCTTGTGCCCCAGGACCCCCAGTGCAGACAGAGGTGGCTCTGTGGGTGCCCCATAGTGGGGTGAGGAGGCATCCACCCCACTGCTGTGGGGCGTGGGGCAGCTCTGCCTGGCTGGGGGGTGTGCAGGGACAGTCCTGCTGGACTCAGCGCCCAGAGGGCATCGGGAGGCTGGTGCTGCCTGTCCTGCAGGCACTGGTGCCGGGGGCTGCTCCCCGAGCTGTGGCTCTGGGGTCCCGCCTGGTGCCCCCCGGCTCCCTGCGCGGCTCCCCCCGGCCCCTCTCCTGGCTGCGTCTCCAGAGCCATTACCGAGATGGCTCCCATTAGCGCCGATTGCTGGAAACCAGCGCGGGAGCTGAGTCAGCGTGTCCAGAGGGTGAGTCACCGGGGAGCGGGTGACCCCCCGCCGCCGATGAGGCACACCGGGGTGGTCGCGTGGCTGCCCGAGGGTGCACTCGCAAGCTAACGGGCACCGGGGCTGCGTGCGAAGGGCCCCAGCCCAGCTGGACCCTCTGCCCCTGGGGGCTGTTGCCCCAGCCAGGCCATCAGCCGCTGCCCCAGGCCAGGGCTCTGCCTGGGTTGCCATCACCCAGAGTGGATTCCTCTGCACGGGTGCACCCCCCGGGCACCGGCCAGTGGCCCACCGGGCTACGGGTATCCACCAGCAGAGCCCTTTCCTGCCCCCAGTCCTGCCGTGGAGCGCAGGGAGCTAAACCTGGGGGTGAACCAAGTTACCTCATCTCTCTCCTGGCTTTGCGAGAGCAGCTGCTGGGGTATGGGGTGTTTTGAGACACCCCAAAGGGGGACACAGGCTGGCCCTTGGCACGGGCAGCACCCCCAGTGCTCCTGTCCGCCCTGGTGGCATCTCAACCAGGTCCTGCCCTGTATCTCACCTTGCCTCCCCCCCCAGAGACCTGCCAGGGCCTGACCGTGGCGGTGGGTGGTTCTGGTGGTGGGTGACTCCTGCAAGCTGGGGGTCCCGCCTGGCGCCCTGCCCTGGGGGGGGTGTGCTGGGCTGGGGGCCGGGCAGCAGCGGCTGGCAGCCACCTTCACCCCTGGCTTGGGGCGCATCCGCCTCTCCCCACGCAGAGGAAGCGTCAGCAGAGCATCCATCACCCTGCGCCCGCTCGCCACGTCCTGGGCTGCCGGCCAGCGCCGGAGGGGGACGGGCTCCCAGCTGAGTCACAGCCCGGCTGGGTGAGGGGCTCGTCCTGCTGCCGTGGGGCCGGGCTGCGGCACGGCCACCGGTGCGGCACGAGGACGGGGCTCCCGGGGCAGCTGCCCTGGCTCAGTGCCCTCTCCATCCCTGCCCCACGGCACCTGGAAGAGGGCTTGAGGGATGTGGGGCTGGACGGGGGCTCGCAGCCTGCGCCAAAGAGAGGAGCCTGAGGCTGCTGCAGGTGCCCCGGCTCACGTCCTGGCCTCTCTGCACCTTAGCTTGCCCCACACTTGCCTGCCCCACACCTGCCCCTGCTCTCCTCCCAGGCAGAGCGGCTGGCCGTGGCATCGTGGGCCATGTTGGTGGCATGAAGGGCTCCTGGTGGGGACAGAGCAGTTGTGGCCACCCTCTCCCTGCCACCCTGTGCTTGCCCCAGGCACTGGGAGGGTTGCGGGGGATGCGGGGAGCAGGCGTGGAGTTGGGGGGCTCGTGGCAGGGTACAGTGGCTCTGTGTGCTCCCAGCCAGCGCCGGTGCCAGCCCTGGGCCCGGGGGGTGGCTGCGTGGCAGGGCCAGGCATGTGTGGCAACTGGGTGGGAGCGGGGGGCTCTGGGCACTCACGGTCTCCCTTCTCCCCCAGGACTACACGGATGCCCTGCTGACCAACTACTGCGTAAGTGCTGCCCGGGCTGTGCCGTGTCCCTGGCTGGGCTCCTCCGCGCCCCTGTCCCTGTCCCTGTCCCCCACTGCCCTGGGCTCGGCTGGGTGCCCTGGGTGCCCGGGGGGAGGTGGGCAGGGACGGGGGTGCCGGCAGGGCTCCTTCATCGCCGTCTCCTTCTCTACCCAGATCTGGCCGCCGGTGCAATTGGCAAACTTCTACTTGGTGCCCCTGCAGCACAGGTAGTCACGCGGCCGTGGCCCCCAGCATCCCCCCCGGCTCCCGGAGCCTGCCACTGTGGACCCTGTCCCCTCTGTCCCCAGGCTGGCCGTCGTCCAGTGCGTCGCCATCGTCTGGAACTGCTACCTCTCCTGGAAAGCAAATCGGATGTGAGGGGGAGCCGTGTCCCCCTTGGCTCTGCCCGGTCTCCGCAGCCCCTGGAACCGGCCCCCGTGGCTGCGGGCAGAGACGGGATGAGCAGGGTCCCGCAGCAGCCGCCCCGTCCCACTCGCTCCTCGGGGACCTCGTCCTGCAGCTACGGCTGTCACTGCCCCAGGGACACACGGGGGAGGTGGCGGTGACGGGTCCACCTTGAGACAGGAGGGAGCTTGGGGCTGCTCCAGGCCCAGCAGCTCTGCCCCTCGAGGTGCTCCTCCGTCCGGGATCACTCCTCTCCCCGGCCCGTGGCCCCACACAGCGTGTTCCCGCTGCGGCGTCGCTCTGCCCTTCCCCGGCGTGGATCCTGGAGGGCGAGGGGCCGGAGTGGTGGGTGCCGGTGGTGCTGGAGGTTGGGCACTGCCCAGCTCAGTGCCCAGCTGGTGCTGCCTGCCCCACTGCCTGCCCCACTGCCTGCTGCAGTTCGGGTGCGCTGCCCCCCAAAATGGATTTCTCTCTGCTGTGGACAGTTGTAGCACCCAATAAATGGCATTTTTCCCTTTTGATTCTCATGACGCTTGAGCCCGTGTCCCTCCTCCCCACACCGGGGGCTGTGCAGAGTTGGGGGTTCCAGGCCGATGGTTCCTGCCCTGGTGGAACTGCTGGCAGCCCTCCTGTCCCCTCGGTGGGGTGGGGACCCTGCCCGCCCCACTCTCTGCCTGTTGCCTGAGGAGCAGAGTGTGCGGCCGTGGGGCTGGCATCGTGTGTGGGGCTGGTGGGGGGCTACCCTGGCTGTCTTGGTCTGGTTTAGGGGTCACCAGGACCCACTGTGGCTGACTCGTGGGGTCTCCTTCCAGCCCCCACGGAGCCGGTGGCCGTGCCAGCCCGGGCATACACAGCCCTTGCACACCCGCCCTGGCACAGGGGCTGGCCCTGCTCTGGCTGCAACACAAAGCACAGGGGAGCCAAAACCCACACAGGACCCCGACGTGCCCTGGATGGAGCCCCAGAGCCCACCCGGCTGCTGGCCACAGCCACCCCCCAGCACAGTGGAGCAGCACTTGGTGTGGGGCCGGGGCCGTGTGATGGGGCTGTGTGTGGATGGCACCGGGGCTTTGAGGGGCTGGGGGGCTGCAGGGCTCAGCCCAGACTCTCCCCGGGCCATGGGGTGGGTGCTGCTGCTGGGAGGCTGTGGGTGGCAGGATTTGGCAGCCCCAACACGCAGACCTTTCATGGCTGCGCCCAGGGGTGCAGGGGTCCTGCTGTGTCGGCAGCGAGCGTGGCACGGGCCAGGCACTTGTCCCCAGCAGCCGCCAGCCCCATGGTGTGGGGGCTGCCAGGGCTGGGGTGGGTCAAGCCCAGCCCTTGCTGAGGGCTCTGCCCTAGAGCCGTGGGGAGGAGGTGCCGGGTGCCAGCCTTCACACCAGATCCACGCCGCGGGTGCGTGGCTCCATGTGCCGCCTCACCACGGTCAGGGCCGTGCCCCGGCCCCCTGTGCCACCCGCTGTGGGACATGCTGCGTGACGGGACAGGCCGAGACCCCGGCCCCGGGCTCTGCCTAACTCCGGCCCCATGGGAAGAACCCACTCCGAGCCCCTCTTGGCACCGGTACCGGGTGCCACTGGGTGCCCCCCTGCCCGCAGGGACCCACGGTGCTGCCGGTGGGCGCAGGCCGGGCCGCAGCGCTGCCGGGGGGGTTTGCCGGCAGCAGCGTGGTGCACCAGCAGCTACCTCACCTCTTGGCAGCGGCGGCCGGTGCCCCGCGCTGGCACATCCCGCATGCAGCACAGCGCTGCCGGCCCCGGTGCCGTGGCTCTATGAGTCACGGAATTTGGCTGGTGGTGCCTCGCTGCCGTCTGCGGCGACCGCCCGCCGCGTGCCACGGCCTGACCCCCCCACCGACACCTCTGCCCGGGGCACGGGGCCGCCATGACCGGACACAGCCGGGCCCTCTGTCCCCCCCACCCGTGTCCGTCCTGTGCCCGTGGGTGCCGGTGGCCGGGAGTTTCCCCCCACCCCCGGAGACGGCCCCGCCGCTGCGCCCGGTGCCTGCCCGGGACGTCGCTGCTGGACACGGCCGCTGGTCCCGGCGCACCGGGAGGGTGCCAGGCCGAGGGGCCGCGGGTCAGCCCTCTCCGCCGGCCCGGCGCGGCTCACCCTGTCCCGGTGCCCCGGCGGCGCTCCCGGCCGGTGCCGGCCGTTCAGCACCGCGGACAGCGGCACGGCGGG